GCAGCAGCAGCACTTGCATTAAATGGTCGCCTCGGCTGCCTCATGCACCGGCGTCTCGTCTGCAAGCCGTCCAATGGTACCCATCCTACTCTCGCCCAATAAAGCTTGTCTTTTGCCTCGCTCGCGTCCCGCTTCCCATGGCATACAGGTAACGACAAAGGAAGCTATTTTCATCTTCACACGCACACAAACTTTTGCCTGCTCGACGCTCCAATAATGCCAGACACTTGTTTACCGGTGGGCCTGCGCGCTCAAATTCGATCGAGCAGCCGAAATGCATCCGATGAAATGGACCGGGCCCCGCCACCTCGTGGGTGATGAGCTTTGGGCGCTTCCATCTGCATGGTTAGCGTCGTTTTCGGCGGACAAGCATGCATAGATGCCGTGCCACCGTTGTCACACCGGCAAGTGGCTTCCTCCGCCGAGCATCGCAACGCCACCTGTGAGACGGAGCACCGTTTTGATCGGCCAACTGCCACGATGTGCCACGCTACGTCTGTACCGTGGCTCAACATACAAGAGCGTGGCAGCACTGTGACTCTGGGCGTGACTGTAATCGGATGGCGCTCAAGCCTTCCTCAGAAGCTTGCACGGTTGCCATTGAACAATCTGCAGCCAACGGACACACCAAGCCACTCGAACTTTGTTCTCGCCGCGATTGCCGAGCCACTCCATCGGATCCTTGCCTCCGCACATCGATACACCGCCGTAGCAGCCTTTGAAGGGCTGGTCGGAGCTATACTTTTGGGCTTTCGGGCTTGTGGGCTTGATTCAACTCAGCCTGCGGCCGCCTATTGGGTTCAAGGGCACATGTCAGGGCGCCGCTTTGGCGAGCCCAACCGGCCTCTCGGTTGGTGGGGGCGGTCTGCAAGGGCCGCCACGCTCGAGGTCAAGCCTCCGTTCCGACGCTCTCGCGTGCCACTCTTGGCGGGATCGGCACGATCGAATCTCAGCCCAAGATGCTTCTTGCAAAAGAACCCCAGCTCGAAAAGGGGCCATCGCACTTCTGTCGATCTCACAACAAGAAGAAATTTCGAAAGATCACGGATCCTGTTCGGCCCCGACCAGCTAAAATTTGGAAGTCGACCTCCAGTCTTCGCCATCTTGTCAGAATCGATCTTGTCCACCGTCATCCATTCCTCACCACTCTTCCACACAACCGCTGCATAGCGTCGCATAGCACGAGGCGCACATATTCACATCACGGACATGACGACAAGGTCCATGTTTGCGCGACTCTCGCAGTCGCTGCGGGCGCCCGCTGCTCGCTCCTTCTCCTCGTCTTCGCGTGCTAGTCAGGCACCCGTCCCACGCCCCACCAAGCCCGCCTCGCAGTCGCAACCAGCCCTGCCACCAACACCGCGATCGCAGCTCGAGCAGATCAAGCAGTACCCCGCCCACCCGCTTCTGCAGTTCTTCCGCACACACCGATACGAGATCACCGACAAATCGCTCGGTGGCCCCGCCGCCGTCGAGGAAACCATGCAGGATCTCGTCACGCCCACAAAGTACTTTGTCCGACTTCCACATGCTGTTCACCAGGACGACCTCGGTCGTGAAGCCAACAGCAGGTCATGGCTCGCCAGCGAGCTGAGGCTCAAGAGCTCCAAGGATCTCCACACGCTCTGGTACGTCCTCCTCATGGAGCGAAACCGCCTCGCTACGGCATGGGAGGAGTTGCAACGTGTGGGTGCCCGCCAAGCGGCTAGGATGTGGTCCCAGAACCTAGGCCGAAAGAACCACAGGGTAAGTCAAATGCAGCATCGACAGCACGAGCAGCCTGGTCCCGCCGTGCCATACTGTGAATGTAATGCTGACGAGTCTCGTGCCTATTCTGTTCGCAAAATGTTGAATGCTAGGTGCGCAAGTCGATGGCGCGTATCAAGTTTGTTCTCAACGAACGTCGTCTTGCCCTCATCGACGCACAGAAGCAAGTGCGCGAAGCTGTCCCGGCGCCCGAGCCCGCCCAGGGTGGCAGCCTGTTTGAAGATGTCGATGCGGAAGGCAGCCCGAAGCCTTCTTCGGCATAGTGCCAGCACCGCATGACCGCTCGAAATCAGTCTCCCACCCCCTTCCTCCAGCATGTACTAGTATCATCATTACCCCAATCATCGACGCAATCTCACATTCCCCGCAAGCCTCTCTTCTCCGTCTGCCTCGTGCACCGGTCATACAAGCCGCAGGCAAATCCGATGCACGGCGTGCTTACATCCTCCAACACTCAGACAGCCACGTCTTTCACAGACCAGCAAACGTTGAGAACAGCATACATGTCGTTTTTTGGAATGACACCGCCTTCTTTCGATATTTCGGGGGTGGTCTTTTTGGGGGGGACGAGGACAACGTCTGCTTGCACAGCGCGAGGGGAATGAAAAGGGGAGAGAGATTGATGGTACAATTGCAGTGTGAGTAGATGAGGTGGAAACAGCTCGATATGCGGATCGAGACTCGAGAGGAATGCCGATGCAGGGGCGTTTTGGGTAGCCTGGACGGCAGACGTGCTCACGCCTACGTGAGCGCTGTGATGTTGTCGACTTCGAAAGAAGGGGCGAAAGCTCGTCGACAATGCGATCCACACGCGAGAGCAACGTGCACATCCATGGCCACCAAAGAGACTGCTGCAGATTCGAATCCCGAGGCGCAAAGCCAAGCTGCCAAAAGGTGCTGAAACAAGAACGAAGGCAAGGTCGAGAGATCGACACGTTTACTTCTTCTTGGCATCGCCGGCCTTGGTCTTCTTGGTACCACGGACCTTCTTGGCACGGTTCTTGCGCTCCTTGCGGAGCTTGCGCGAGGCCTTCTCGGTCTTCTCGGCAAGGCCGACGCGGACGAGGCGGTGCTTGGGCTCGAACTTCATCGAGTCGCGCGAGTCGTAGACGAGGGCGAAGCCGGTGGAGCGTCCGCCACCGAAGGCGGTGCGCATGCCGAAGACGACGCACTGCTCCTTGGGGGTCTTGTACATCTCCGAGAGCTTCTCCGAGAGCTCAGCCTTGGAGACGTTGGGGCGGGCAGGGTGGATGACATCCAGAACCATCTGCTTCCTCTGGAGCAGACGGTTCGTGATGAACTTGCGGGTTCGGAGGGTGACGGGAGAAGTGGAGTCCTAGAGGTTGAGAAAGCATCGACGTTGGGATTAGGGTCAGCAAATTGGTGTTGTGCAATACGTTGCGTGTAAGGGAAACGCAGCTCGGCGAACATCACGGCAAGGTCCAACGCTGCTGCTGAAAAGGACGGTGGCAGAGGCCCGATTCGTGGTGCTGCAATTGAGGTCGGATGTCTATGGCGGCATGTGTGTTGTGTGAGATGCGCACGATCGGGATGCTTCCTGTTTGTCTGATGTCGTCGATCTGTACCAGCAATACCACCTCGTCGCTCGAAGGAATGCATGTAGAAGGTCGAGCTGCGGTGTTGTTGTGCTTCGCCGATGTGGCCATCCTCTGCAGAATCTTGATCGAGCCGTGTCGTCATATATTCGGCGATAGCTGCGGCGCATGGAGCGTGCTCTGATTGCGGAACGCAGACTGCACGGCGAAGATGCGGCTTTGGTGATCATAGCAGAGTCTGCGACGGCCTTTTTGAAGCTGGACTCTTCCAACTGTTCTCCTGATTTGTTTCCACCTCTCATCTGGCCTCGTGGACTATGAATCTGCTGCTGCGTAGCATGCGTGTGGACAGCGGCAGAGGTTCTGCATAGCTGTCGGTGCTAGAACGGCGTTATGCTGATGGCGAATGTCGGTTGAGAAGTCGAGGCATCATGTAATGCGACCGATGCTCTAGAGGCGCAGCTGACGATGTTGTGTGTGCGGTTGAGCGAGCGATATCGTCGACATAGCAGCAGCGTTGGATGGCGATGATGTGCGGATGTCGATGCGTTTCCCACAGTGGTGTACTCACCATCTTGACGAATTCTTGGTGGTAGCAAAGAGAAGCAGGGGATGGTGACGAGGCTGACCTAGCTCCCGACGCTCTGTCACGCACACACTGGCCTCCAACCGCATCGCACCTTCTCAGGGCAGCACACAGGCAGACGCGGAGCCCTCGCTGGCTTCACTGACTGGCCTTCGAGCTTCGCGTTCACTCCTCGCCCTCGACGCAGTGCAGTCAAGCGCCTGCACTGCTGCCTTGCTGCCTTGTTCCACCCTCTGCCACTCTTTCTCAGACCCACAGCGAGAGTGCAGCCACGGCCAGAGACTCGAGGCTGGGCGAAATTCGCGTGCTATTGCCCGGTCGGGCATTACAAATTCAAATGGCGAGGCTGCTATCCAGCTCGCGAGCCGGGCTGTTTTTGCGGGAGTTCCCTGCCATTTGCTCGAGAAGCGTGGGAATTTTTCGTTTTGAACTGCAAAACGCGCCGTTTTGGCAGCCCTGCTCGTAGGCGTCTGATCGATCGGACATCCGGGCACGCACTCAAGTCCCGATACCAGATTTCCAAATCTATGCATTCTCGGATGTCGGTCAGCGCCGAGCAGGTGCACAACCGGACAGGCCAGTGGGGTCACCAGTGTGGACCCTGATGGCGTATGTTGCACGGACCCAAACTGGCCACCATCATATCGTCTTTCTGGCTAGAGCATGAGCGGACGCAGCGAGCGTCTGGTCAGCTATTCTGACTCGGATTCAGACGAAACTGCTCCTCCTCTAGACCAAGGAATACTACCTGTCGCACAACCAACTGCCAGCGACAATGACGATCTCGCCAAGGTAGCCCCTCCGCGTGGAGCGCACACGCATCGGATCAAAAGGTGAGATGACACCACGATGCAGTGAGACGCCGTGGTGAATACAAGCTGAGCCAAGCTCTACTCGTCTTCCCCACCTGCCAGAAAGCTACAGCCGCTCGACGATGATAGCTTGCAACAAGCGAGCCGCCCAGCAGCTCGCGACCGAGTGCAAGATGAGCCAAAGACGGCATACGCCCGCGGCGAATGGCTGTGCTACTGCTTTGTGGAAGGTAGGGACACATACAGCTGAAACTCTACGAAGTCTTTACGTGTATACTGATGCTCTACTTGAGTCGCACACAGTCCCGATGACACCTTCTTTGAGGACCTTGATCCAGGAAAGCCACTCTCATGTGGAGCAGGGGCTCCTGCAAGCATTCCCGGACAAAGCATGCTTGTTGAAGACAGCCGATGCCGAGGAAAGCTCAGAGACTCTCCTGTCTACAACTGGAAAGCTGCACATCTCTCTCACTCGGCCATTTACGGTCCGCGCTCACGAGAGGGACGAGTACGTCAAGACTGCCTTGGCCGAAATCGGGCGCTTTTCCACTGGGATGACCAGGTGAGTCCGATAGTTCACGGCCTGGCTGCGTATCAGTGAAAGGCATCATCTAGACAAAAGCGGGTCCGCAGCTTCTGAAGTGCGCGCATGTATCAGCTTCTCCTTCTCTTTCTCGCGCATCGCCTGCCTCGCCAATGACGATGCGTCCAAGCACTTCATGGTGCTCGAAGTCGGCCCCGGTCGCGAAAACGTACGTCTCGCCGTCGAGCTCAATCATCGGAAAGTGATACTGACAATTGTCCGCACCGCCGACAATGATTGTGCGTGCACAGCTGCGCAAACTTTCCACTGCGCTAGGCGCCGAACTACATCGCGCCTTCCGCGCCAAGTCATATTATCAAGAGGCACGCTTTCACGCGAGCACCACGTGCCTTTCCGCGCCGCCATCGAACGACACCGACGCCGACATGCTTGCTTCGCGCTTTCGCGCGCTCATCGACAGCGTCGAATCCGAGTGGGGATCCAAGCTGCGCAAACTGCCGCCGTTTCGCATCTCCCGCATCGGCATCCAAGTCGCCAACAGAATCACCTACGCAGAAGTCTAGCCTCATTTAATGCAGGACGAGCGCTGGATTCTTGCTGAGCCTCTCGCTGCGGCCGCCCGATGAACTTCGACCGGCAGGGCAACAAGACACTCGCCCTAAATGTCCTACAGCACCCGAGACATAGCGTATATATACGCAATGTGAGGCGGTCTTGATATGAAAGCGTCCGAATTAGTTTAGTGGCT